TGGAAATACTGACTCAAGAGCCTTTAGTATGTCCTGATAGTAGTTTCGAAATGGGATGAAATGATTGAGGGGATGAGCGTAAGGTCCAAGGACAGAGAAGCCTGGGGGAGTCGAGCGTGCCAAGGTCAGAGAGGAGTGAGAATAAGCACGGAGGCCAACAAGGAACATCTACAGAGGAAGGAGAACCAGGAGAGACAGGAGTCTAGCTGGAAGCCTGCACCAGAGAGGTGGGGGTAAGATGCACAGCTAAACTCTCGTGGGGCAGACAATTGGCTACCTGCCACCTCTGTTCACCCATACACTCTCCAGCATGAAAACAAAGCCCACCACCCCAAAGAACAGAGTTCACCTCTAGTGTCTGACCTGATGGAGAAACACTGCTGATCTGCAGGTCTCCCCATCTCCCTCACCCCATCTGTGGTTCCCAGGGGCAGGTCTGTCACCCACTAATAGGAAGGAGAGATATCTCCAGCAGCAAGGGCCCCGTGTGCCTGCCACCCACCTTGGCACAGTTGCTGTTTGAGCGTCAGGTCATTAGGTCCTGAGCGGAAAGCAGCAGCTGGACTGATGTCACCTGAAGAGCAAGTCCCCTCATGAGCACCAACTGCCACGCAGAGCCGCTCTGTTCATCCTTCAAGCTAGAACGTTCAGTCACATTCCCTCGTTATCACACACTCCATACAGAGAGCACCCAGACTCATAGAGTCGAACCGTGGGGGGCAGGCTGCCATTGCTCACTCACACTAGACCATCCTAAGACATCTCCAGGGGCAGGCAGTTCAGGGATCTCTGTGTGCCCACTTCAGGGAATTCTCTCTCTCTCTTGCCTTCTCTGCTCCCTCATCTTCCCTGGCATGCCAGCTTTTCCAGTTTGAACTCTATGTATAACTGCCTCATGAACTCCGTTGCACATGGGAATTACCTGGAGAATTTTTTTCTTCTTTCTTTCTTTCTTTCTTTCTTTTTTTCTTTCTTTCTTTCTCCTCCTCCTCCTCCTCCTCCTCCTCCTCCTCCTCCTCCTCCTCCTATTCTCCTCCTCCTCCCCCTCCTCCTTCTTCTTTAGACAGGGTTTCTCTGTGTTGCTTTAATGCCTGCCCTGGAACTAGCTCTTGTAGACAAGGCTGGCCTCGAACTCACAGAGATCCTTCTGTCTCTGCCTCCTGAGTGTTAGAATTAAAGGCATGCGCCACCACCACCTGGCTGAGAATATTTTTTCTAAAAGTACTGATGTCTGGGTCCTGTTCTGAGAGATTCTATTTTAATTGTTCCTGGATATGAGGTACATGTTTGGAATTTTCTTTTCTTTTTTTTTTTCCTCTTGGTTTTTCAAGACAGGGTTTCTCTGTAGCTTTGGAGCCTGTCCTGGAATTAGCTCTTGTAGACCAGGCTGGCCTCGAACTTACAGAGATCCGCCTGCCTCTTCTTCCCGAGTGCTGGGGTTAAAGGCATGTACCACCACCATTCGGCCATGTTTAGGATTTTCAAAGTTCCTTGAGTAATTCTTTTTTATATTTTAAAATTGCATTTATTTATTTAGATTTGTTTATTTTGTGTATGCATGTGTGGACATGCATGCATGTACCACAGGTCATCTATGAAGCTCAGAGAACAACTTGCAGGAGTTGGTTCTCTCCTACCATATGGGCCTAAGGAATTGAACTCAGATTATTGGGCTTGGTGGCAAGTGCCTCTGCCCACTGAGCCATCTTGCTGTCTCTCCTCAGCAGTTCTAATTCATAGATGAGTTTAAAGTCTGTCACTGAATAGTAAACCTGGTGCATGTTTCTACAAGCTGACAACATGAGCCGGGTCTCCCTCCAGCGTCCTGTCTTGCTTCTCCTGAGCATTGCCAGGTCTGTAGGACAAAAGCCTTGAAGCACACTTGCTCAGTTTGGACCCCACCTAGATAAAATACATTGCTCTGTATCTCAATGGCAGACCCAGTGGAGGCTGATACTGTCTATATCTAGCTTGTAGTCTCTCTCCACCTAGAGTGTTCAAGGCTGACCTTTTATTTTAATATCAAAGTTCTAGCTTCAATCCTACGTTAAGCAATAGGGAAAACAGAGTAAAGGTGGGTAGAAACACCCAAGGGTGTACACTACACACACATACACAGACGCGCATGCATGCACAAACACCATACCACACTGTGCACCACACTACACACACTATACACTGTGCCACACCAAACACACATACCACACCACATACACCCTACACACCCCACCACACACTCAATACCCACCACACCACATATACCCTACACGCCCCACCTCACACACATACACACACATGCTTGCACACACACCATACCACACTCAGCATACACCACATTACATAGACACCATATACTATGCCACACCAAACACACATACCACACCACACACACATATACACACACACCACACACATACACACCGAATCAGACTTACAGTGGCATTTTGACAGTGTGGAATTTTCTGGTAAAGAAGAATGGACCACTGACTGACTGTACCAGTTCTTTTTGGCCACCAACCAGCTCCCAAATCATGACACAAAGACTTCTTATTAGTCTTGCATGCTCGACCTAGTTTAGGCACGTTTCTGGCTCGTCCTTTTAACTTAAATGAACCTGTTTCTCTTCATTCGCCTTTTGACTCGGGGCTGTTTTCTTTCTTTCTGTGTATCCTTCTTCCACTGCTTCTCAAGTCTGGTCGGCTGGCAGGGGTGGCTACCTGGTTTCTTGCCCCTGAAATGTCTCTCATTTTCTCTTCCTTTTTCTTTCATTTCTCCTCTCTTTGAGCCTAGATTTCTCCCATTTATTCTTTCTGCCTGGCGGCGCTGCCTGTCCTTGCTCCGCCTAGCTACTGGCCATTCAGCCTTCGCTGGGCATGATGAAACCAACGCAACACATCTTTACATAGTTAATCACACATCCTTCCTCTGTTAACCAACTGCAGCACAAACAAACGGAACACACCTTTACACGGCTAAAGTAGCATTTCACAGCATAAATAAATGTAACACCTCTTTGCCTAGTTAAAATGATATTTCACAACAGACCCCAGTTCTTCATCATCTCTGTTTTTGTGACACTGGTTTGAAGAATTATGGGGGTTGGGGGAAATTCTGAGTCCTTTACCTCCAAGGCAGATCTTGCTCAGTGAGCTGACCTGCTCACAAGCAGCATCCTCCTCCTCCTCTGGGATCCCTAACTGGCAGGATCCAAACCTGCTCCAAACTTATCAAATGCTGTAAATGCCAAGCTCCTTGGAAATGAATATCAGCACATTTCTAGAAGGCGATTTGGTAATATGTCATAAGAGCATGAAATACTTCCGGTTCACACCTTTTTATCCAATTATGTCATTTCTTATCCTGAGGAGAAAATTAGAGCTGCGGTAAAACATTTCTGTATAAAGATGGTCATCAAAGTGTTCGCACCAAAATTATGTCGCAGTAACTGTGGAGTTACTATAATAAACCTTCCATACTGTATGACTATGATGAAATATAGAAAATGTTAAAACCCACGCTTCCGCATAATTTTTATTTATCTGGTCAAGTGCTCACCCATGTGGCTGGCCCTCAATAACCTTAATTATGTCCCAGAATCCTCTCTTACAATATAATGCTATATGAACACAAATTGGGGCTGGAGAGATGACTCTGTAGACTGCATTTACAGAGGGTCCGAGTTGGATTCCTAGCACTTGGATTAGGCAGCTCACAACTGTCCGTAACACCAGCGTCAGACAGATCGCTTCTGACCTCTATGGGCACTGCACCCAAGTGTGCATGTGATCATGTGCACACGCAAACACACACACACACACACACACACACACACACATAGAGTTAAAACACATTAACTTTTAATTTTTTCCATGCCTGGGATGAGGATGCAGGGCCTTAGGTATGCTGGGGAAGCACCCTACCGTTGAGCTAAAGCCTCATGCCTTACATTGCAGTTTAATGCTAATGTGGTTCTAACACAGCTATTCACAGGAAAGCCAGGAAAGCCAGGAAAGCCGTGGGATACGCTGAGGGCTTAACTATGGGTACCCGAATTGTATGGTTGAGATTGATTTCAATTTTTTCCATATATCCTAAGCTTGTATTAGATATATAATTAGAAAAAAAGAAAATAAAGAGCTGGTGTGGTGTCTCTTACCTGTAATCTCAGCATTTAGAAGGCTAAGACAAGTCAATAGCGAGTTTGAGGCTAGCCTAGGCTATTTGTCATTTCAGCATTTGAAAGGCTAAGATAAGTAGAAGATGAGTTTGAGGCTAGCCTAGGCTATATGTTATTTCAGCATTTGGAAGGCTAAGACAAGTTGATGGAGAGTTTGAGGCTAGCCCAGGCTATCTATATATCAAGATTCTTTCTCAACAACACTTCCAAAAAAGTTTTTTTTATTGAAAGGATTTTATTTCTTATAAGAAATCAAGCTTCCACCAGAGGCTGAAATGACTTCCACCTCAGAAGTGACCCCCATGACTACCTGTGCATATGGGATTCCTTCTGAGTGTGTCTCTGCTTGTGGTTGCAGAGTCTCGCAGCTTATGACTGAAGCATGTGACGTAAGGGAGGAAAACAATATATTTCATGCTGTCCCACTCAGGGCTGAGGTAAACATACTGGCCAACAGAATCCGTTTCACCCAGGAGGGTGTTCACTGGATCCTCGTGCTGTCCTGCAACACTGTGAACTCAAACAAAAGCTTTGAGGATTAGCAAGATCTTGTTCAGACATGCAAACGGGGGTTCATTCATCCTAGAAGTATCTTCTGAGCGTCTTCTGTGCCAGACAAAGTTCCCACTTCTAGAGACTATTGTCAGCAGTTCAGGTTGCTGACTGATAGGGCTAAGGAGGTAAATTGGAAACTAATGTTTGAAGTTCCAGGTAAAACAACAGAATGTCACTGTTGCGGTCACTTGGTAGGAGGTTGGGTGACAGATTTCACCAAAGTTCTTTTGCTCTCTTCCTCCTTCCCTCTCCCTCTCTGTATCTCCAGATGGAGGTGATTGTTGGGGACTTTGGGATCGTGGTGGTGCCCCGGGATGCAGCTGACACAGACCGAATCATGAATCACTCCTCAATACTCCGCAAATACAAAGTGAGTCTTTCATCCCCTGCTGGTATATCCCTGAGATACAGCCCTTCTCTGAAACTTCTGGGGGCCTGGAAGAGTGGGGGAGCAAAAATAGCTGCTTAGTTAGGATTTCCATTGCTGTAAAGAGACACCATGACCATGGCAACTCTTTTTGTTTTTTCAAAACAGGGCTTCTCTGTGTAGCCTTAGCTGTCCTGAAACTCATTCTGTAGACTAGGCTGGCCTTGAAGTCATAGAGATCTGCCTGCCTCTGCCTCCTGAGTGCTTCAGTTAAAGACCAGTGCCACTACCACCCAACTTACATCAACGTTTTTTTTTTTCAAGACAGGGTTTCTCTGTAGCTTTGGAAACTGTCCTGAAACTATCTCTTGTAGACAGGCTGGCCTCGAATTCACAGAGATCCACCTGCTTCTGTCTCCTGAGTTACTGGGATTAAAGGCGTGCACCACCACTGCCCAACTTATGTCAACTTTTATAAAGGAAAACATTTAATTGGGATGCATTACATACAGTTCAGAGGTTTAGTCCATTATTGTCTTTGTAGGAAGCATGGCAGCATGCAGGCAGATATGGTGCTGGGGAAGGAGCTGAGAGTTCTACATCTTGATCTGCAGGCGACAGAAGGCGACTCCATGTCACACTGGGCATAGCTTGAGCATATGAGATCTCAAAGTTCACCCCCACAGTGGCACAGTTCCTCCAACAAGGCCACACCTCTATAGTTTTACTCCCTATAGGCCCAACATCCAAACACATGAGCCTGTGGGGGCCATACCTCTTCAGACCACCATAGTAGTCCACAAGAATGACTGGTTGTTTTCTGCTTTCTTTCCAGAACAACATCATGGTGGTGAAGGACGACATCAACCATCCCATGTCTGTAGTCAGCTCCACCAAGAGCAGGTATGGTTGGCAATGATTGGGGATACCAGTAAAACTGCTTTAAAATTTTTTCATAGCTTTCCTCAGTCAAAGGCAACCTGTCTTGGTTAATTTTTCCATTTCTCTGATGAGACACCATGACCAAGGCAACTAGCAGAAGAAAATGTTTTCTTGGGTCTTAAGAGTAATGGCCATGGTGGGAGCAGAGCAGCAAGCAGGCAGGTGTGGTGCTAGAGCAGTCGCTGAGAGCTCACATCTTAATCCACAACCATGAGGTAGAGAGACCTCAAAGCCCACCCCAGTGACTCATCTCCTCCAACAGGTCACACCTCCTAATCCTTTCCAAACAGTTCCACCAACTAGGCACCAAGTATCCAAATATATCAGCCCATGGGAGCAATTTCCATTCAAGCCATTACACAACACTTAGATTCAAGTGGACACCTGCTGTCCCAGCACTCGGCCTCCTCTTTGGACTTCAGGAGTTTATCCCTGTTTACTTTTAAATGAGGAAACAGCGCATTAACTGATCTTAACTGGTTTGAGGGAAGAAGAGGATATATATATATATATATATATATATATATGATTTTTTTTAGTTTCAGACTCTTAGTTTCGGGTGCTAATAAAGTCATGCATTACTAGTAAAAGTATAAGCCAGGCTGCCGTTAAAAGGGTCTCAAAATTCAGAGTTTCAAACAAGGTAGCTGTATAGTTCTCACTTACAGAAGTCCAGAGGAACTGAATCTGGTCTCTTCAGTCTGAAGCTTCCTTGTTGGGAACATACCTACTGCCAAGATTGTTCTCAGCCAGTAGGAAAGAACAAGACGAAGACCAAGGCAGGACGTTTGCCTTTAAGGTGAATCACCCAGGCACCACGGTTCATACACTGAGGAGGTGGAGGCAGGAGGAAGACAACTCAGTGCTAGCCTGGGGTGAATAGCAAGAGCCTATCTCAAAAAAATCAGTGAATAGGGACTGGAGAGATGTCTCAGTGGTTAAGGGCACTGGCTGCTCTTCCAAGAGGACCCAGATTGGATTCCTAGCACCCATGTCAACTCATGACCACCCATAACTACAATTCCAGGGGCTCCAAGGCCCTCTTCTGGTCTCCACAGGTACCATACACATATGATACATAGATATTTATGCAAGCGAAACACCTATACACATAAAATAAGACTAAGTAAATCTTTTAAAAAAGGTAAATAATGAAGTGACCCAGAGTTGTAAGTTTACCACTGGCTCGTGGACGAAGGGCCTGGGAAAGGGTTTATTGTTCAGCAGCTGTATATCGAGATGGAACTAAAGGGGGAGGAATTAACATTAGGGACTGTTAGCAGTCTCCGCCATGAACTCCAAGTGGAACTGGCCTGTGAAATGGTGAGCTATATAGAACCTAGGAGTTTGGAAGTGTAAGCTGAGTGCCATGAGCATGTGCGGCAGGTAAAATGAGCGGGCTCAGCAGGTAAAAAGGCACCTGCTGGCCGGCCTAACCGCCTAAGTTTAGTCCCTGGAACACACGTGGTGGAAGGAGAGAACCAGCTCCTAAAAGTGGCCCTCTAAGTCCCATGCTTGCACTGTGGAACACACACACACGCTCATACACATTTGCTAGTTAATTAATTGAAAAAAATTCCAGATCCAGATGAGCTCACAAAGTCAAGCAGTGAAGAGAAAGCTGCTCCCAGGAACATGGCAAGGTTTCTAGCATTTCCGTGAAGGCTGAGCTGAGGAGCAGTGAAAAGCCCCCAACAGGGATGCTGGGTAACCAAGGAAGAGTCCAAAGATGGAGCACTGTCATCTGGTCATGGAGCACTGTCACCTGGTCATGGAGCACTATCACCTGGTCATGGAGCACTGTCACCTGGTCATGGAGCACTGTCACCTGGTCATGGAGCACTGTCACCTGGTCATGGAGCACTGTCACCTGGTCATGGAGCACTGTCACCTGGTCATGGAGCACTGTTACCTGGTCATGGAGCACTGTCATCTGCTCATGGAGCACTGTCACCTGGTCATGGAGCACTGTCACCTGGTCATGGAGTACTGTCACCTGCTCATGGAGCACTGTCACCTGCTCATGGAGCACTGTCACCTGGTCATGGAGCACTGTCATCTGGTCATGGAGCACTGTCACCTGCTCATGGAGCACTGTCATCTGGTCATGGAGCACTGTCACCTGGTCACGTGTTTCAGAGAAGTCAAATAGACCCAGAACTCAAATAGTCTCCTGGACTTCTTCCCTTGGGAGGCAAAGATGGAGACAATCACAGGAGCAGTGGCCACTGGGAGGCTAGGGCAGAAACCAAGGATAGTGGGCAATGAAGAGGGCAGGGCTTTGATTCCAGCATGGCTGATCCTTAGACACAGAGACATTACTCTGGGGCATACAAACTCCTGTATTCCATTTGGTTCAACCAGACCAGGATTTTCTGGACTTGGACTCAAACTTAGCTTCTCCACAGAGTCTGATAAAGTTGAAACCATCATTTGGAGACCACTTTTCACCACGTTTCAATGTGCAGGGAGACACTTTAAGATGTGCTTTGTAAGGTAAAGGCAGGGCTTGCCTTGGAGCCGGGCACCACGCCAGGCTCAGTGACATCCTGAGACTGTTGTGTCAGGAATGAGCAGAGAGCTGAAGGCCAGAGGAAAAGTGTGCAGGGATCAGTTTGTCCCTGGAATCTTTCACCTGTTGCCATGCCTGGGCTCATGGCTAAGGGTTCCTGGAGGAGGGAAAGGTGAGCTCACGCTGAAGAATCCTCTAGGAGACCAGTTTTCAAGAGACCAGCAAGCAGAGAAACCCAAAGGGATAAACTAAGAGTTCTTAAAAATGCATGCAAAAAGTCTATTAAAAGAAAAAATAACAAGAAAGCTAAAATATTGACCCTGGGCTTGGCACAATGACTCCTTTAAATGATTGGCTGTAACTCACTTACATGTTACCTTAATTGTACCGAAGGAAAAACTAAAGAAAAGGGCTTAACTATCTTGCCTAACGGACCAGTGAGATGGCTCTGTGGGGAAAGGCACTTGTCCCCAAGGTTGACAACCTGAGTTCAGTCCCTGGGAGCCACCTGGTAAAGGACAGAACTGAGTACCACATATTGATTGCCCCCTGGTCTCCACACATATGCTGTGGTACATGTATGCACACACAGAGACACACACGTGTATCCATACATCAAGTAGGTAAATGTAAAAGAAAATAACTTTCCCAAGGTCTCTGAGCTACTCAGTGGCAGGACAGAATGAAGGTGTCCCTGGGGGTGGAGGGACAGTCTGTGTGGGGATGGGGATCTTGCCGGTACTGTTTGCTCAGCAAAGGCTGCTGTCACGGTGCTTAGGGCACCTTTAGATCTTTTCCTGAGAGGCAGAGGGCCGACCAGGGCTATGTGCTTTCTCAGGCACGGCTGTCTATGTGACTGCTGTTTCTTCTCACGCAGGCTGGCCCTGCAGCATGGGGACGGCCACGTCGTGGACTACCTGTCCCAGCCAGTCATCGACTACATCCTCAAGAGTCAGCTCTACATCAACGCCTCGGGCTAGCAACACCCAGCTCTCCACTCTACTCTCCCCGTGTCCTCTGCCAACACACTGGCCCCTCCAGCCACTATCAGACCCCATTTTCTCTCTGCCTCTCTGTTTCTCTGTCTTCATCTTGACTGTTCTCCCCACTGACTGACAGAACCCCCACAGTGTGGGGGCCTGCGAAGAACCGTGGCATTTCCCATTCCACAGTCATTTTTGGATAAACTTTCCTCTAGTCTCCGGGTTGGGGGGTGGGTAAAGGGAACAGGGTGGGAGTTGGGGGAAGTGCAGCCCTTGGAGATGTACTGGTGTCCGTCTCCCAGCATGCTCTAGAGAGGCGACTCTGGTGCCCATCCTCCCAGCATGCTCTGGGGACGTGGCTCAGGCTCTCGCCTTCCCAGCATGCCCTTTACCACAAAGGGCTACTTTTCTTTGTTTCTTTCCCTTTGTCTACTTCTTGTAGAACTTGGATGGAATCAGTGTGTGTGGTTTTTATGCTTGTAGTCTTGATGCTCTCCTGTGGTTTACTTACCTTCTGACAGGACACTATAGCCAGTCTCAGCACTCCAAGTGCATGAGGGCCACACCCAGGAAAGAAAGCAGAGCCGCTTCTGCTTCAACACACATGCACACACACACACGCACGCAGATGTACACACACACGCACACAGATGTACACACACACGCACACAGATGTACACACACACGCACACACACACACACCAGCAGCAACCCCAGACTCCTTTGGTCAGAAATAAGATGCTCAGGCCCTGAAACCTGGCACACAAGTCTGGGAAGAGTAGAATTTCTCAGAACTTGAGTCCCTGGTTTCATATGACCATGGTCCTGAAGTTGTGTCTGACTGGTAGCATTGTGTGGGTTCCCTGCCAACCAGGCTTTTCCAGAGAGAAGAACCCCTTAGAGGCTATGGTAAGATGCATTCCTGCTAGTGAAAGGAATCACAGGTGAGACCAATGGCTGATAGCCCATTCATTTCTTCTGGAAACACGCTCAGAATCCACTTGACCGTAGAATTTCTTTGCTAATTGGGATTATTTATTGCCCCTTTGGCTAGGAAATGCAAGCTCAGTCTGATCTGGGAGAATGTAGTTTGTTACCCTGAGGAGAATTCATGATCCCACACCCTCCACCTGAGGCTGCCCAGCTGAACCTAAAGCCCTTTCTTCCTTGGGAAGCGATCACCCTTGTTCCTGAATTGGCCCCATCGGTGTGCTGCAGAACCCAGCAGCGGCAACCAAGGCCCTGAAGGTTTGCCTGTCAGGAATGGGTTCACAACAGAGCTGTCACCCCAATTTCTTCCCCACTGTCCTCCCCTTCTTCTACCTCTGAAGACAGTTTGGACCCTCACGTCCTGCCCGGAGAGCTAGTAAAAAATGACTTTTATGTTTTGTGTTTCCCATCGGGCCTCTGGCTCTTGTGTTCCTGGTTGTTCACGAGGAATGGCTCCTGAGTACGAGGCTACTTTTAACTTCTAACATGAACATGGCCCAGGTGGGACTGAACAGGGGTAAAGCTCTCCACCTCGGGTTTCACTCCAGCCTCCTTGGCTGACTCCAGGAGGAAGAAGTGGAGTCAACAGAGGCGCGTAGAGCATTCCCGATCCGTGGTTCCGTAGACTGTAGGAACGATCTCCAGAGGGAAGAGATTATTTCTATAATCTAGAGGTCCAATGTCTGGCTAAAAGTCATGGGGGAAGAAAAAAAAAAAAAACAGAGAAAACCTGCAGAATCCGTTTGCTCCCAGGCTCTTTGACATCGCGGGAGCAGAAACCCCTGGGAGTCAGTGTCTGGTGCAGGACCGTGCAGTGCACCCTGGGAAGCATGAGGAGAGATGCTGTTTCTGCAGTAAAAAGAAAACCGGGAGCTGGATTGCATGGCGTTTGGAAGGCTCTGGAGCTGCCGAGGGCCCACATAAACAGACCCGACAAAGACTACTTTTCTTTCGTTCCTTTGGTTCGCTGTGTTCCTCCTCTGGACTCTGAGTCTCTTTTGCTCCACAGCCCGAGATAAGGTCCCAGGCTAGCCCAGCCCCCGCAGCGCAACAGGCAGGTAGGAGCAGGGAAGGAAAGGAAGGTGAGAAGGTGAGCTGGGAGAACAGGTACAGAAGTGGGTTTCTGGGAAGCAGGCAGGCAGATTGTATCCTGGTGAGGTGTGTGGAAATGGTTTCCTTTAACAAACAGAAATGAGTCCCTTTTTGGTGAAATTGTCCATCCACTTCCCTGTCTCTTTGTCCCTTGGTTGGAGCAAAGGTAGAACTTCTCCACTCCACCCTCACCCCATGAAGAACAGCACAGTGTGACTGTGACCTGCCCCAGTCAAGACAGTTTTAAGCAGTACCTCACATGTCCTCAGGATAGCCTCTGGGCTCTGACTTGTCTTCGGGACCGCTGCTTCCTGGGAAGGCTGGCCCATCACTAGAATGGTCCAGAGATATCGATGAAGGCACAGACGGGAATGATCTGATCATTTCCTGTTGCCAGTAAACAACTTCCCTGCCACTTTTAAAGAAGAGACTGATAGACAGACAGGAGGGAAACTTTAATAGCACTCTCCTCCAGGAACAGGACTGCAGCGACCCTGGGTTGCCAGTCTGCCACACTCTCCCAGTCCCGGTTAAGCCTCAAGGCCCCTGGCTTTCATTTTCTTCGAATGTACATTGACCAGCAAAGGAAGTCTCTTACTGAAGTGCCTGAAATCACAGCTGGTTTCCAGAGACACTGCTCTTCCCATTTTGGCTTGGCCACATGTTCTAGTCTCAAGTTTCAGAATCTCTGAGAGAACCCATGAACTTGCTAGTCAAATAAGTAGGAAGTAAAACTTGATAATCAAATGACATCAAAAGCCAGAAGATTACAGAGAGCCCAAATTCACTCCCTCGCTCCGATATTCTCACACACACTTGTAGGGGTCTAAGAGAAGCATGCCTTCTATTTTCTGTTTTTATTAGAAAAGAAACGCCATGCCAGGTGTGGTGGCCCATACCTGCGATCCCAGCACGGAGAGCTGGAGACGGGAGGATCAGGAGTTCAAGCCCAGCCTCCAGACACATAAGACCTTGTCTCAAAACGAAAACAGCAGTGCAAAGAAAGCATAGGAAAAGCTCAGGCTCTCTCCCCAGGCTTCAGCAGGGGACGGAGCAGGAGAGCTAGAAGGATGGAGCCAGGCTGATGGAATTAAGACACCTTAGAGATAGTCCGTGGTAAGAAGGAGGGTGTGATCTGCCCGGCTGACCAGACCCACATCTTCCTGTGGGCTGACTGGTAAATTCAACTCCTTGTGTGGTTTCTGTGTAGTATGCGTTTGGATGTGTCCTAGGAGTCTGTTCCGGTTAGTTAGAAACGAGTTGTAGCACTTTCTCACCACCCTCAGTGGGGTCCCAGGGCCCTCAGCTTGATCCTCATGGGGTTGGAATGGGGAGAAGGAAGCTTTTTTTTTTTTTTTGTAATCATATCATCTGCTGATTTAAGAGTGAGATTTACTTTATGAAAATCAACTCATTAATAAAAACTCCAAGTTACAATACCATTTCACAGTGAAATATTTTTTAGTAGAGTTTTGTTGCTAGACTAGTCATGGGCAAGAGTTTTATCAGCAAAATGTTTCAATTATGTTAATAAACCAGACAATGCTACTAGTGTCTTGTGTCTTTGTCCAGAACCTTCCCTATGAGTTGCTCTGAGAAGTAATCACTTTTTCTCCCTCCTGTTACATGGTGGGAGATAACAGTTGTGAAAATATGCTTAGAGCAAGTGTCGTTCCGCCTAGTCTAGATGATGTAACCATGTGATATAGACGGGGGGGGGGGGATGGTGGCAGTGGGTAAGGATGCTTGCTGTCACCCCTGACAACCTGAGTTCAGGTTGTCATGTTCCTCATGACTGAAGGAGGGAGCCAACTCCAGGAAGTTCTCTGAGCTCCACAGGTCCACTGTGGCACACACAAGCCTCCCCCCAACAAATCAAGTCAGCCTAGGCTACACAGTGGGACATTTTCTCTCTCTCTCTCTCTCTCTCTCTCTCTCTCTCTCTCTCTCTCACACACACACACACACACACTGCCACCATCACCATCATCTCCACACTCAAGGATATATTAAGAGGCTAACTGGCCAATTTGTAAATTGTGCCTAAGTTTTCTCAGTTTAAGAAAAGTAATCCTTAAAGAGCAGAGAGCTGGACAGTCCATCAGGACAGAGTGCTACTGCTCTTAAAGTAGACCGGGGTTCAGTTCCCCACGCCTACATGGTGGTTCCCAACCATTCCAGTTCCTGGTACCCAAGGCCTTATTCTTGCCCCCATGGGCACTGTATTCACACGGCACAGAAACTCATCTCCACACACACACAAACAATTTAAAATTAAACCTAAGATCCAGACCAGCCCACAGGGTCCACTCTTGGTTAGTTTCGGTTGCTTGTTTAAAAATTTTCAAGACAAAGTCTTACGTGGTCCTCACTAGCCCCCAACTTGCTTTGTTGCTGAGGATAATCTTGGGTTCCTGACTGATACCCTGACTCCCTCTCCCAAGAGCTAGGATTCTTCTAGCGGTGTGCTAACATGACTGGCAATTTTGTCTCTTTAATAAAATCATGAAGAAAACATATGTGTGTGAAAATTAAAAAACTTGCTTAGATTTTGGGCATGAACGATCTCCCCTAAGAAATGGTCGAGCTCATGATTTCCTTTGGTAGCATAAATAAGCAAAACGGAATGATTTGCTAATTGCCGGCTCCTGCTGTGATCTTCAGCCCTCTCGTTTCCCTTTTTAATTAGGCCATGTCTAGCTTGGCCAGTCTGAGCGGTGGCCATCAGGTTATTGTTGCCCAACCATCAGCTGTGACGCACAGGCCGCAGCAACACTTCCCTGTCCCAAGCCAAGGGCTAGATACAAGCCAGACTCATTCCGTTCTCTTCTGTGAACATTTTGATTTTAGGATTCATAGATCTCCTCCTCCATTTTCTCCTCCTCACCCTCTTTCTCCTTGCCTCCTTCTCCTCTTCCCCCTCCTTCTTTAAACTGAGAATCATACCTACTTTGTGTGTATCCACGTGGGGTTTCATGATATATCTTACGGAAGCTTGATATATTTTGTAAATTGGTTACTTGTGTTTGTATTTGCTCTTTGGTTCAGAAAGTTAACCACAGCACCTCTCCCACCTTGGGAGTATAACGATGAGTGTGTTTAAAATTAAATATAAACACTGACTTAATTTGCTAACTTTTACACACACACACACACACACACACACACACATATAATGAAATACAAGGTAACAATCATAAACATTTCTTTCCTTATGTCCCACCATGAAGCTGTATATTTCAGAATTTCCCAAGAAGTTCTATGTGGCCAATAGTATAAAGAAATAAAAGAGAAATTCTACAATTTTCCAAGTGGGAAACTTAAAACACAGTACAAACCCATAACATTCCCATGACCGTACAAAACATTAAAGAAGACACGATAAACACAGTCATGGTCCTTGAGATTTGTTCCAAACAGTGGACAGGGCTGAGTATCCTTTTACCCTTCTATCTGGCCCCCCTAGAGTCCTAGAAAGAAACCACATCCTGGGAGAACATCAGGTCTCCATCTGTGGTCAGCTTTGTCTCTATGAGCCACAGTAGATCAGGGTATGTGGAGTA